GTGGCGGTAATGCACCTAAAAGTTGTTTGCCAACCGCCATTAAACAAAAGAAGAAGAAGAAGTCTTGTGTCGAATCATTGTTCTGTTCTGTTGTGTTTCTGTGAGTCGCCTGCTCTGTATCTTTTTCCTCTGCCTGAGCATTCCCGCTGTGAATTTTTAAGTTTGCTACCATCAGCTCTCTTTTTGTTATTTAAATAAATCCTTTTTTGTTCCTTTTTGAAACCTGCCTGCGCCCTGGGTCTGTTCCTCCACCAAACCCGTTACACAGCCGAGCCGAACCTCGTTCCTGGATACAAGGTTTAATTGTATTTTTCTTTATGTAATGTGCTATTCTGTGCTCACGAGTGAGAAGAAGTTTTGTTTTCCAGGTGTTCAGTGAAGTACACACAGATAAGGCAGAGAGGAGACGTAGTTTTATGCTGCATAGTGAGTATACAACCACGACATTTAGCGTCAAAAATGTCCTGGTTTTTGTCAAGTGTCTACCTTTCTGTGTTACTGTTTTTGGTAAGTCAAACCATTTGTGTGAAAAAATAATGTTGAAATTAAGATGCTAACTGCTAGCGCCGTCAGCTAAGATAGCACCCCTACTTTTTGCAACGAGTTATTTTCTTTTTTTTTCTCAGAGCAAACTCTTTCTAAAGCTGCACCAAGAGTTAAGCATGTTTTGTTATGATTAATGGATGCAAACTCTACATGTTAACTGTTCACCCCAGGTGGCTGTAAGTCTGGTCTGTTGCCTCTTAAACCAAGAAGGGGACATTGGCTCCTTCCCAAGACCTGCCAGTGTCCTGGTGGGTAGACTGGGGGAGGAGCCACACAGGAAAACACTATCATAGGACAAATTTATATTGTTTATACCGTATATTGTTTATGTCGTGCATTCCTAATGTCAGCATAAAATAGCTGGCATGCTGTTATATAGTTGTAAATAATGTAAGTTTAGTTGATGAAAAAAGCAACATATTACTCTATTTAAAACTTACTACTGGTTAAGGTGCTTGGTCTGTTACCTGGACGTCATAACTTTTCAAACTAATGTCCCTGTCACACTATATAATGTTTTAGACAATTTGTAAAAATATAGAAGTTATCTACTTTAGGTGCAATTAAAAAAACTCAACTAGAAGCCTCTTTTACATCTGTTCATACTTTAATGCTAACACAAATTGATCAGTAACTTTTGTT